GTTTGTTATGTTAAATTATAGCGATATGCCGAATTTTATTAATTTAGCATATAAAAGAAAAAATGAGTTTTTTCTTGAAAATTTTTTTCTAATATTCCGTTTTACAATAAAAACAAATGATCTGAGTGAACTAACAATTATCATTTGATAGCTTAGCTTTAGCCTATTGTCAAATATTAATTGATCATGTTTACATTACAACATAAAATATTTATAGTGCAGTGCTATGGATTGGGGAACATTAGTTACAATGCAGTTTTAAGGCAATTTGAGGAAAAATTTGGATTTTTAGTAGATAAAAAAACAATTAAGAGAGTTGTTAAAAAATTTTCGGAAACGGGCAATGTGGAAAATAAAAGGAAGAAAAAAAGCTTTTAGATGAACATGATGCCGAGTCGATTGTTGCAGTAACGAACGCAATGGATTATGGTAAGGTGTCGTATTATAAACCAAAATTTAACCACACTATCGAATTAGGTGATGAAGCAAAACGTTTAGATTATTGTTTGTGGCTTGGGTACAAAATTTTGAAAGACAGAACTTTTTTAAAAAACCTCACAAAAGGCCCACATTCGACCATTTTAATTAGAAATTATTTAAATACGTTATTTCGAAAAAAATGGATTGGTAGATATCATCCGCAACCATAGTCGCCAAGAAGTCCGGATTTATTTATTATGAATTTTTATTTTTAAGGTTATGTAAAACAAAAAGTGTACACTGAAAATTTTAATAACAATTTAGACCGTTTAAAACAAAAAAATTGAATCTGTTATTAGAGAAATTTCGTTGGACCATATTAGAAAAAGTTATAAATGTCGAAAAAGGGCTGAATTATGTCTTAGTGTTGGTGGTGGTATCATTGAATAAGGTTTTATGTTAATTTAGTTTAGATCGAAAATGTTTTGTTAATCTTATGATTTAAAAATCTGCATTTTGCTTTTATATCCTACATTAATAAAATTCGGCATATCGTTAAAAATTTAACATAACAAACATTTTATCTTAATCAACTTTTGTTGTACATTGCTCAGAAAGACCACTTTACCTGCAACAGTTAACAAACTTCTTGCGTTAAACTTTGGTACTTTGAGGACATTTGACGTAAAACTTGGTTATATTTCGTTTTATATCATCCAGACTTTAATTGCAAAAGATGGAATTTGAATTCAAAAATTTATCGTCAATTATACCTTACGGGGACACAATCCGGGGACACACTGTATAATCAGAGAAGAAATGAGGTTACATAAGGTGAGAGCGCCGGGAAGGAGACAGATGGGGCAGGTGGTGGCAGCGAGAAGACGTAGGGTGACAGGGAAAGGCTAGTTAAAGGGATAAGAGTTATATAAGTTATAAGTATTGTACTTAGTATAAATTGTAACATTCTGGGAAACAATAAATTATTATTAATTAATAGAAAAGTTGCTTCCATAAAAAAAAAGAAAAATTTTGGAGGCGCAACACAACAAAACCAGAGTGATAAAGAAGAAGATAGTTCTCAAGGCAGACGTAGAAAAACCGAAATTGATCTCAAAAAATGGAAAGGTTGGTGCAGCAGCAAAACGAAATGGTAATCTCTTTAACCTTTGCACCACTTAAGTGGTGGTCTATGTTATCAGTACTTTGTACTTTGTTGATTTTCTTCAGGCAATATAATAATAATAGTAATCGCCTTATTCACCAATGAAATAATACAAATCATCCATATTTTGTTATAATACAACCTATCAAATAACTAAATACTTAATTATTGGAGAACCTCAAGGTGGAGTTCAGATGAGTGCTAATGACACTCCCTGTTCTTACGCTGAACCTTGCAAATTAATAAGATTTAAAAAAAAATTAAGAAAATTAAAGTAACAGTAGAAATAATGGCCTAAAACTATTACTAAAAACCTGCTTAAGCCTAATTAATTCCGCAAGAAAAGAAAAAATTCTGTATCAATTCCATAACATCATAACAATTCAATTCAAAAAGGACTAATTGCAAAGGAAGTCCACGCCATAAAGTAGCTTAATTATTGCTCATTGAAGAGCAAGAGAAAAACAGCACGTCTGAACGCTACTACACCCTTAGTTTTAATTTCTATCGGCAGGTTATCATATTTAAAGTAAATGTTATAGCTAAAAGATCTCTCAAACAAAGCTGTCTTATGGGCTGGAGGAGTTATCAAGTTTCTATTTCTAATGTTAATAGAGTGAATATCACCCCTAAACCTCACTTATTGAATAGATAACACGGCTCTCCTGTCCGCAATAACCGATGGAAGAGAATCAGGGAGCTCAGAATACAACGATTTTTCATGTTAAGCCAGTTCAAAACCAATAATTTATGTGAGATTCTATTAAATTTTCGAATGCCAAATATATACCTCATACAAGCGTTCTGAACCCCTTGAACCCTGCGCACGCACACCGAATCCAAACAAGGACCATAGACAGGCGAGCAATAATTGAACAAAGACAACACCATATTTTCACACAGCACAGTTTTAAGCTTCATACTGAAAATAGAGGCATAAGGGTAAAGCAACTTCAGATTACAAAAAGCAGCTCCAAAAGTACTTGAAAATATTTATGCACCTGTTATAAAATTAAATACAATTAGAGCAATTGCAGAATGTTTTTCGATCTAGAATTGGTCTACCGGAATATCGCAGTCTGTATACNTTATTTATATAAGTTATAAGTATTGTACTTAGTATAAATTGTAACATTCTGGGAAACAATAAATTATTATTAATTAATAGAAAAGTTGCTTCCATAAAAAAAAAGAAAAATTTTGGAGGCGCAACACAACAAAACCAGAGTGATAAAGAAGAAGATAGTTCTCAAGGCAGACGTAGAAAAACCGAAATTGATCTCAAAAAATGGAAAGGTTGGTGCAGCAGCAAAACGAAATGGTAATCTCTTTAACCTTTGGAGGACCGGAACCACCACTTAAGTGGTGGTCTATGTTATCAGTACTTTGTACTTTGTTGATTTTCTTCAGGCAATATAATAATAATAGTAATCGCCTTATTCACCAATGAAATAATACAAATCATCCATATTTTGTTATAATACAACCTATCAAATAACTAAATACTTAATTATTGGAGAACCTCAAGGTGGAGTTCAGATGAGTGCTAATGACACTCCCTGTTCTTACGCTGAACCTTGCAAATTAATAAGATTAAAAAAAAAATTAAGAAAATTAAAGTAACAGTAGAAATAATGGCCTAAAACTATTACTAAAAACCTGCTTAAGCCTAATTAATTCCGCAAGAAAAGAAAAAATTCTGTATCAATTCCATAACATCATAACAATTCAATTCAAAAAGGACTAATTGCAAAGGAAGTCCACGCCATAAAGTAGCTTAATTATTGCTCATTGAAGAGCAAGAAGAAAACAGCACGCCTGAACGCCACTACACCCTTAGTTTTAATTTCTACCGGCAGGTTATTATATTCAAAGTAAATTCACACTGAAAATGGAGGCATAAGGGTAAAGCAACTTCAGATTACAAAAAGCAGCTCCAAAAGTACTTGAAAATATTTATGCACCTGTTATAAAATTAAATACAATTAGAGCAATTGCAGAATGTTTTTCGATCTAGAATAAGTGTACCGGAATATCGCAGTCTGTATACTGGCACCGGTTCCGAAGAATTTCGGCGCCATTCACTATAAATTAAAACCATAGTAATAAATGTAAAAGTACTCCATAAAGTAATAAATAAATCAAAAAATAATAAACAATGTACAGGGTATCAATATAAAATATGTCATAACTCATAACCATCTCAATTCTATCAGCACATCATTCAAAATAGAGAGAACTTTTCAGTATTAATACTAATGTTAAAAGAAGCACAAGTGCATTTCCTGGCGTTATACCAGGAAGATACGCGGGAATTATAAATGCCAGCTGCATTTTAATGAGAGCAGTTTTCTATGCACTTCAAGGAAACTCACATCGATATCCCAGTGCAATTCCTGGTACTTCGCGACGGTTAATAAAATATACAGACGTACGAAATCTCCTCTGGGTAAATTCAATATCCCTGCCGGACGTTACGAATATATTTATATTGTTGGTCCTCTACCACCTTCTTGTGGTTACATTTATATTTTAACAGTTATTGACCGCTTTACACGCTAGCCTGAAGCCTATCCACTTAAACAAACTTCGGCTTCTACAATTTTTAACATTCTCTTTACTAATTATTTTGCAAGATTTGATCCCCAATTTTACAATTTCTATACATCATCTTATCATCCACAAAGTAATGGGATTTTAGAAAGATTTCATAGAACTCTAAAAGCCGGCATCATTTCTGAAGGTATCAATAGTAGTTGGAAGAATCATCTTACATTAATACTATTAGGTTTCAGATCTTCTCTGAAGGAGGATTTAGGATGCTCATCTGCTGAGCTTGTTTACGAGCAGCCCCTAAGTCTACCAGGCGAATTCTTCATCACCTCTCATGATATGGTTAACGTAGATTCATTACTTATTTCGCCAAGAAAATCTTTTTCAAAATTAAAACTTACTCCAACATCCTCACATACCTCTACCATAATTTTCGTTCATAAAAATCTGTATGAAACAGATTACGTGTTTATTCGACTAGAAGATATCAAGTCAACTTTAGCCCTTAGGTATGAAGGACCTTTTAAAGTGGTACAAAAGTTTCCCAAAACATTCACTATTTTAAAAAATAACTGAAGTGTCACTTTTATTTTTGTACGATGAAAAATAATATTTAAGAACTGAAATCATGTACAGCGTGTTAATTAATTATCGTATCCGACGTCATCATTGCAAGTATGCAACCAATATCACAGTATTGGTATTGCAACACGCGATTTGCGATATTGGTTGCATACTTGCAATGATGACGTCATGTACTCCAACAACAACTTACAAAACTAAAACATTTCAACCCATTCCAGAAATATTTTGTTACTGAAACAAAAAGAAATGGGGGCGTCAAAGAATTCAATTATTTAGCTATAAGTAGATATTTTATTTATCCTTTATTAAACAGTATAAAAACAACACAAACACAGCAAAAATACAGAACTTAGTAGCAAATGATTTCAAGCTCTTTGATATAAGTACAAATAACCAAGTTCTTTCGGCGGATTCTCCGATAAAGCAACTTTCTCATCGTTGAAAATCACCCATCTTCCTTCTTTCAAGATATGCACAACGTAATGCCCAACCATCGAAGAAGTTCCCATATGCGAAACAAATGCAACTAATTTATACTCTACAAAAATAAAAAAAAAATTCTTTTGTGAATGATTAATCTATTTCTAATTATTACTTGAATCTCCATCGCGATACTCCGGTTCAGAAGTTGATTCATCAACCAATTCATCTTGATGTGAAAAAATCCAATCAATCGCTCTCTCAACATTATTATCGGTAGCTCTCAAAGCTTTAATTGCTTGATCTTGAGTAAATCCCATCCCCATAATCATTGGAAGGGCTTCTGGATTCGGTTCAAAACACCCACCTGCAGCGTTTGTTTCAGTGCCTGGTGGCGTGAAAGGATCCGCAAAGTCCGAATCAGTGATATGATCCATGATCCACGCTGTGGCACTTTCTAACCCAGAATTTTGTGTATAGAAAACGGCACGTTTACATGCTTCAGGTGGAAAACCCATATCGGCCAATTGTGCTAAAACTGTTTCATCTAAAACTAAAGGAGGGGGAGATCCTACAAGTTCAGGCAAAGGTTCTTCATCTGGTTGAGGTCCAGTTGCACGTAATGATGATAAATCTAAATAATCTGGCATGTCAACGGCGACATCCAGTTTTATTGGTACCCAGTCTTCGCGAAGTGTGAATTTCTTTAAATGGATTAATAAATAATCGGGGAAAGTTGCCATACGAGTTGTTCTTAAAATTTTTCTTTTTTATTAAAGACAATATAATTGTATAAAACACTTACTTTCTTGCTGTTGTTTTTGAATTTAACGCAGTACTAAAAAACTGTTCAACAACTTCCGACTGTGTAAACAATTCCAAACAAGAAAACAATTTTATTTTAGGTCTAACCAAAGATTCCGGTTCAAATCTATTCCCTAATTTCTCAGCTTCTAATTTTTTAGCTTCATACGCCGTTACCTAAATTACAAAAAAAAATCAACAATATTTTTCAGCAAAACATCTCAACTCACTTCTTCTTTATTAATAACCGCCTCTAACGGTATATTTAAAGGTAGTAAATTATCCGCTCGGTGAGAATATTTAACTTTTTTAGACGCACTACACTGAACTCTTTCTTCGATTTTATATTTAAACGCTTTACTCGGGTTGTAAGAACGCGAATTACGCTCCAACAAATTGACAATATGCAAAAAGAATTCCTGAGCGTCTTGTTGGCGTTTTGTTGAAAAATCTGCATGTCCTTTCCCTATCAACGTTTTAAACATTAAAGGAGAAATACCCAATTGTTTACCATCGGAATTTTCTTGGGAATATTTTCCAGAATGTAATCCCAAACCTAGTTTTGCCCTGAAATTAAAAGATTAATATAGAAAATTCTTATTGTTAGTCTTATTTTTAAAATAAGATTCGATGCCGATTATTAACATCGAATTAAAATCTTCATCAATTTTAACCTTTTTTTTATGATTAATCAATAATAAATAAAAATAAGTTCTGTAAACGCTTTTGTTCTATCGAGCCTTTTATGATTTTAAATTGAAATTTAGACCGTTGAGCATTGTTGTTACAATGTTTATTACGTATAATGAATAAATTTTGTTGATGTTTTTTATTATAATTATGCTGAATATAAGCAATATCTTTGATTTACATGTTTTTGTTATTTGTATCATTCGATTTACTTAATACAGTCAACGTGAATATTCATTTGTACGTAATATAAATCAAAAATTTTTGTATTACAAGACCATCGAAAAAGTAAGTAAAGTGAGTAAAAAGTATGCTGAGAAAAACGTATAAATTTCTTATTATGTCGCTGATGCAAACAGACATCGTACTGGTGAAGGATAATTTGATCAGAAAATCTTCTAATAAATTTCTTCCATATTCTAAAGCCAAATATATCCAGGAGTTGAATTTGACCTGTTGTCCCTGCAGGTATAGACAAATGTTTAAACTTAACATCTGATAGAGTTACATAACTCCATAATTTGAGGCAATGGCTAATCCAAGAATCCAGTAATGATTTGGGTCTGGTTATTTGGGAAACACACATTTTGTAGCCAATTTTCCATATGTGTAAAAGTTAGTTTACTAGATTTTGATGCCAGAACGAATATGTTATCTGCTGTGAACATAACACTGACTGGACCACACTTTCCATGGTTTTAACCCCTAAATCGGCCAAATCCTTCCCGAATGAAATTTCAAACACTATGATCTGAGTTATAGGTATACTCAGATCCATATATTTGGATTTGTTGTTTTGCTTCTTTAACGAAATCTTTTGCTCGATTTTTCGGTATATCAATATAATGTAGTGGCAATTTGTTATCTTTAGCGATCTTCACTGGATTAATTACAAACTCTATAATTTCTGCTAATTTTCCCCTCTTTCCTCTATATACAGGTTTAACGTGAGACAAGCGATTATCTCGAAAATGGTTCATATTACATAAAAATGAACTAAATGAAAGTTGTTCTGTGTGAAGGGGGAAACCATATGACTATAAAATTTTTTTCCTTAACCTTATTTTCAAGGTAATATGAAGGTCACGACCAATTTTTTAAATGGCACCCTATATATTTTATTGTAAAATCTGAATCTGTGGATAAAAGTAAAGTAATTCAAAATAAAAAAAATTTACTGTGTGGTTTTGCCAGTACAACGGCAAAACATCTTTTGAAAAAAATTGAAACTTCTTCAGAAACAATTAACTAACATTTATAATCTAGCAAGAACAAATAAGATTTATGAATTTTTAAACACTTTCCTACCCGCTTCGATACATTGTCTTTAGTTCTTAATTCTTAGAATACTATTTAAGAATGCTCAACAAAAAAAATCCAGAAGAGGTACATCGGGTGACCTGGCTCGTCGGAAATATCTTTGGAAAGAGGTCTAAAAGGTTCCGACATTTCTCCGCCTTTATCAATTTGATAATAGAATAACGCATAAAAAACAAGAGTTTGTGGAACTGCTTATGTCGGCATTTTCAGAATATCGCTTTCAAAGACTTAATTGGTTGAATTGTTTTAAAATGTAACAGATAAAAGTAAATTTGCATAAAAACTGCTTGGCAACAAATTCTGAATTCATTCCATCGTTTTACATTATTTTCGTGTTCGAAAATGTTTAAGAAATTTCAGGAAAATTGGTCGAATAGTTCCATTTTTATCGAATATGCCAATAACAATATTCAATGAATTTATTATTTCTAAAATCGTCCTTCATTAAACAGACCAGCCACTATAAAAGCATAAATTTCGACTATTTTAAAACCGAAATGTAGGTGCTTTGAGGTCACAATCACCAAACCGTCAAGTTGAAGCATTCTGAGTGTAACCTTCCAAACACGTGACCAGCAAATTATCTCGAAATAGATCTTCTTAAATTGTATATCATGTTTTTGTATATCTAGATGAAGTGGTAGAGGATGCTTTACTAAATCAATTCAGATTCACATCAATTCTCAGCTCTTAGCGGTCAGTACCGATGATTTGGTTATTCGTCTGTATAGTATATTATTATGTGATAATAAGTGGCCATTGAAAGCTTTTTTTCAAATTCTTTGTACTGTTGCTATAAGTCAAGGTTTGTATATAAGAGGTTGTCTAGGTTTATACGCCAGCATACTGCGCATTACGTCATTGGCCGAAAATAATACCGGGAAATAATTCCAATTTTTAAAATAAAGTAATTGAATTACTGTAATATATTTAGTATGGTATGTAATTAACTGCGGTAGTAAAACAAATTCATTTATCATAAAATAAGTGGGAGAAACTAAAGTAGTAATTGATTTATGTTATACGAGAGAAGACAACTTTCACTATACATGACCTTGAGGTTGCGCGCGCAATTCGCCGCCACTTACGTCACGAAACACTTCCGCTCTTGCCTTTCTCCCACAAACTGAAATCAAAGTATTGCATGAACCTAGACAACTTCTTATATACAAACCTTGGTTATAAGTAACATTATGTCATATAAAGATTAAAAACCACGTTTTTTCCAAAACCTTCACCAGACAATTAGATTTATTCTTGGCCTTTCTTGCCTTTCATTGTCTTGTTTTTGTTCTTCAATTACCTTTTTGCTGTACAATTCAAATCTGATTTGGCCGTAAGGTGTTCAATAATATTATTGCATGCATTTTCACTCAATCCATAAAACTGCAAAATAAATTTAATCCCTGTCTCCCATGGCCCAGTAGACACATAATGAAAACAATCCTATGATTTACTTCTGAGCTAGTGTTGATTAGCGGTCCTCAATTTACATCTCGTCAACCACAACGACAAAGCAAAAAGGAGTTTGAACCCAAGACCTCCTAATTCATCTTTTTCAAATTGCACAGCGTCTTTACATTCTCGACAAATAACGATGTTAGCTAACGTATTGAATACAGTAAAAAATTCTATCAAACAATATGCGTGCTCGTATTACATACGATATGGTCACTACTTACTGTGAATAGTTTTTTGCACTTGCAGAATACTCTGCAATTCCTTCTTCTTCTTTGATAAATTGATTACCTTGAAAACAGCGTCTAGACGCTTTAGTACTTTTTGAATACAGAGATATTTTGAATAATGAGTGTTATAGCTAAACTCCATTTTGGTGTTTTGAAGTGTTTGAATATACACAAATTGGCAAAATACCTGATTTTTTTGGAGGGGTTGAACATAATAATAAAACATATTTACAATGTCAAGCAAAAAACTTTCATAACCCTATTGCCTAAAATACTCTAGGAATATTTTGAGGGAAACCCTTTTTTAAACAAATAGCCGCAAATACTTGGAAGTTTGCTTTAATACTCAGTATCACATTCTGAAGATGTTTGAGAACCGTTTTATGAAAAAAGGTTATGATTTTTTTGAAGGTTCTAAAAGTATTTCCCCCATTAATGCTACTCATAGGGTGATTTTTAAATAATTCCAAAGGTAATTCATAAGGGTAGTTCATCCCTATTCACCCTGTGACAAGTGTGAAAAAAACATTTCATCAAGTCGTATTAAAATAGGCATGTGCCAAAAATAAATATTAGTTTGATTTTCCCCAATTTTGATAAAACCTTCTATTTTCAAAATATAAGCGAAAACGTACTTTTTCGCTAACTTCAACCTCTAAAACTTACCCTGACTTTTACCGCACGTATAAAAAAACCTAAAATTTATTTTGGTTCATTCTGACTGTAGCAAATTTCATCGAAATCTGTGAGATATGTTGCGAGACATCTCTTGTATGTAAAGCTCAGATCACTTGCAAAAACTAACCAGGTTTTAAAAACATCAGCGTGTTTAGTTTTGATCTTAAAGTAGCGCAAGGAACCTTAGCTTACTTAAGCCTAATTACACAATAATGCATAAACATTCATTAATTTTTTTTTTCTGATATTGTGATGCATTAATTATTACATAATAATTCATATATTACATAATAATTCAGGTCATTTATGACCCAGGCACTACATCAATACAAAAACTAAGGAGTTTTCAAGGATATCAAGTTTTTTAGTTTTTGTATTGATGATGTGGCTATTTTCTCCTATTTTTGATACTTTAGATTTTAGGTGATGTTTGGACCACATGAATTAAATATTAGTGTATTCAGTGTATAGAGATCATCAAAGCTAATAGGCACACTACAAGCGCAATAGAGCACAAATTTTTCTATAAATAAAATTCTATAACATTTTGCTACATCTTCAGATGTATCTCCAGCTCTTCACTTTGTAAACAAGTAAGCCCTATGCAATTTATGCAAAATTAAGGCCCACATTATGTACATATCATAGTGCACATCATAACATAATAGTAACAATAACCAAAACTAAACACCCAGATACATTCATTAAAAAGATATACCCCCACCTTTGTTTTAGAATAACTTACATTTGAACATTAAAATCATTTGGTGGATCATCAGAATTTTCAAAAATAATTGGAGCATTATTAACAAATCTTTGAATAAAATCAGGAATTGTAAATAACATTTGCATCACACTGTTTAAGTAACATGAATTCCCTAAATTGATCATCCCAGTATAACCAGATCCAAAAACTGGTCGTAAAGTCCCCCCACTTTCTTCCAAAGCTAACCACTCAGCCTTTTGATTTAGCTCTAATTCAAGCTCAGCCATAGATTTCTCAGTTTTCTCCATATTAGCAATATTAATCCCCCAATGTGCTAAATGGTCCCCTAATTTTGGGTCTTCAACCAAATCATCTTCCGTGTAACTGAAAATATCTGCTTTATTTTCCTTTGTAATTGTTCCTAATTTAACAGCCAATGGATATTTGGTTTCCTGATAATGTTCTACAGCATGATTATTCCCACCAGAGCCATCGAAAAATTTTCTACCGCAAAGTATTGTACCATCAGTAAGATTTAACCATAAATTTTCTGTTTTGTCACATTTTTCACATTTCCAACCTGAGGGAGGAATCTTTTTTCCATTCTCTAATTGAACTAAGCTATTAGCATGTTTTGTAACTATACGAGCTTCACCATCCCATGTTCCTGTGGTTGCTTCTAATTCATCTAAAGTTGCTGCAGATTGTAACTCTAAGATTGTAGTTACAGAAACGATAACCTAAATTAATAAATAATATTTCAATAAAAAATAATGGTGGATTAAGAGATTACCTCTTTTGGCAGATTATTATTTGGCCACGGAATTGTAACAAATCCTGGTAAAACAACGATGTTATAGAAATTCTCGATTTCATATTTTTTCTTGCTCGTTTCCGGGTTGAATCCGCCTTCAACGCCAATCGCTAATCGAGTTATTTTCTTTTCTGGACCATCACCCTGTGGAGATGATGGAATCTATAAAATATCAATAACAATCACCGTCTACATCTCAAGTCTCACTTAAATTACCTCTCGCTTTTCCGAACGCATATGTAAAAATACTGCATTTCCTGTTTTCTTGAAATAACCTTCAACGTAATCTTTTCCAAACCCCAAAAAGCTGGTAAGGCTCACGTATAACCCCGTTGGAGATTCCTACCATTATAAATCAACAAATTAAAAAAAATGTAGAATCATCACATAACCTCAACAAAACTTACCGGTGTATCAAAACTAAACACACACTCGTCTTTGTAGACTTTATTATTCTTGTTCGGTATTCGAATCCTTGCTAAATGCGGAATTAATGCTTCCATTGCAAAATGAATAGCAATAAAATATTTATAGGATATTTATAAACTGCTCTAATATTTAACCGTAAAAGAACTGTCATTTAGTTGCATTTGTTGAGTTGAGTTGGTGAAAACAGAGTTGCCAACTTTATTACTTTATGTTTTTATTTATTACAAAATTGTTTAATTTTCCATTTGCTTAATTATTTATAATATAGATTTCGATCATAACATTTCGTGTTTTAATTTAAATTATATTAATTTAGACTTAATTTATTTGATTTTTATTTGCATATAACAATAAAAAGATTGTTTTAAATTATTTAATACTAATATATACTTTTGTGAGTTAGCAGTTTTAGTTTGAATCAATTTAAATAATATTTAAAATTAAAGTTTGTTTAAATTTTAATAATAATGTAAAGCTATCTTCAGATGAATCAATAATTATTTTGACAGCTATTTGATGGCTGTGTTTTAATTATTTAAATAAGTTGACGTTCTTTGTATACCAAATCGAGTTTTAAAGAGTATTGTAAAAAACTACTGTTTTAACGTTTATAACACGGCCCTAATTCGCCAAGAAAATGAGTATTGGTACATACATCTTATATCTTCCAGATGTAGCCCTGGAGAAAATTTTTTCATTTTTAACTTACAATGAAATTGCTAAAACCAGGGAAGTTTGTAAACAATTCAATCATGTTTGTGGAAACTTGCTATCACGCGGTTTTATACAAGTGGAGAAACGCCACTCGACTATCTATAAACGTATGAAAACTATGTTGCCACGAAGAGAGTCAGAACGTCGATCTCATCCTTTAGCACGACATTGCGATATATTATCAGCGGTTGAAACGCGTATTAGCATGTTAAACATGACTTTTTCGAGATATATAGAAGCTGGGTTGTGTTGTTTTTACCCAGGGAAAGTTATTGATGAAATTGTAAACGTTTTAAACACCATCGAATTACTACTTCCACCTCCACGTACTCACGAATTATTGCAAGAGTTAAGAGACATTAGTAGTATGGCTATGGAACATTTTGAAGAGTTCATTTTACCAAATTTAAAAGCCCACATGGAACATACTTCCGGTAATGTTCATAATTCGATTCTTATAACATTTTTAATAAAAATTACCTTACAGTTTCATTATTACCAACTCAACAGATAAAAAATAATAAATACGTATTTGTAAAATTCTCTTTAGCCAATGATGTAAGAAAAATTAAAAAGCAAAATAAAATTTATCGAGAACAAATAACTCAAATGACTAATCAAATCGATAAATTAACCAAACGGGAGAAAAGTATTTTCTCAAAGTTGAAGGAGCATTCTACAAAGCTTCGTGACCACGAACGTAAATATAATGGGCAAGCTCAAAAGATTTCGGAACAAGAAGCTATAATTGTTGATCTCCGCAAACATATTGATGAATGGGAACAAAAATTTAACGATTTTGCTGCTGAAATGAGAGCACGTGATGAATTTAATGATAAACCTAAAGAAATATCGCCAAAAATTGGAAATACCCCTATTAGTTTGGGTCAAAACATTAAACCAAGAATCGCTCAAGTCCTTGGGAAATCTTTTTCCAGTGAACTTGAAAGGAAACGGAAATATTCGTTAAATTCTGATCTTGCGCCAATAAAATTTGCTAGAAGTGATAATAATAAAGAAGAAAATTGTACTACAAATGTTAAATTATTTGGTGAAACTTTAAAAAAAGAATCAGCAAATATAAATTTAACAAATGAAAACCAACAGTTGAATCAAATTCAAGAAAATATGAGTTTAATAAAACGTAATGAAACTTTCTTTAGTAGTTTATTAGAATCGATTATTAAAAATCCGATAACTTCTATTAAAAGTAGAAAACGGAAGATGTCTGAAGATATTAATATAAACGATGTATAATTTGTTGTATTTTGTTCAATTCTCAAAACACTTAAGATAGTTTTAAGATTAATGATAATACATGTTGTTTAATCTTTAAGAATCCTACTATAATCTTACAAAATTAATCTGATAGATATATCCAACTGTTAACCAATAGGAGTATTTACAACAGATATAACCATAACAATTCCTTTGGTTAGCTTAACCCACAGATGGTAGTAATGGTCAAATATAGTTTTTTTTTTTCAAAATAACCACAAATTTTAATAAAATGTAATGTAACATGTTTAAGATGGTATGAATTATTGTCTAAACTAATGATTTAGAAATAAATAATAATTGTGTATTTAAAATTAAAATCATTTCTTTAATATCTTTGGTAATCCATATTGCGAGTCATAAATGTAAATAAAATTTAGGTATTTAAATCAAATAGCTTCTTTCACGCTATAAAAATTAATGTATTCAGTACCGGTTTCGGCTAATATGCCATCATCAGCTGAATCTACAATGATGTTAAATTGAATAACAAGAAAATATCTTAAAATAAATGATAATACAGGGTCCGGCAGTGACAAGGAAAGATTTAAAGTAGGGTTTGCAGCGCGCCGCGAAGTGATGGGGAAGAAAGTAGCCAACTTGCCAAGACCTGCATAATTTGCCATTTAGTTTACAATGGAGCGTTGGACGGGTGAGCAACGCGGTTACGCAGTTAAAGCCTATTTTCAAAACGGTGGGATTTCGGCAAATGGGCAAATCATCGGTCCATATTTTTTTGAAAATGAGGCTGAAAATGCCGTTAATTCTGTACGATACGTTGCAATGATTCAGAATTATCTCACATTACAACTTGAAGGCCTTCCAGGGAATGAAGACACACTTTTTCAACAAGACGGGGCAACAAGTCACACTACAAGAATTTCAATGAATGCTGTAATTGCTTTGAAACGGCGATATCAGTTGGCCCCCTCGGTCTCCCGACCTAACCCCCTGCGACTTCTTTCTTGCAGAGCTTCCTTATGCAAAACTTTCAGACACGATTCCAAGAATGCATAAATTGTAACGGAGGACATTTAGCGGATGTAGTATTCGAAAAATAATTTTTTTGACTTTGTAAACCAAATGGCAAATCATGCAGGTCTGGGCAAGTCGGCTACTTTCTTCCCCATCACTTCGTAGTGTTAGTTCAACTCGCTCCGGCCGTGTAAGCCTTCGTACTTATATTATTAACCTTTATGGGGAGGATATCAACAAACAAATCAAGGATTTGGATAACTCACGAATTAGTAACGTATTAACGTATTAAAGTAACGCCAACCTTCTTGAAGGTGAAGCACCACATCGACTCCGCTGCAGCACGTAGGATCTTGATTAGGACAGAACAAGCACTACTACGAAAAAGAATTCAAAAAGACATTCAATGATCTACAGGAAATAAGTGAGAGGTTACGACTCCACCTCTCACTTTCAAATTGTATGTCGGGAGAAGACTGATCGTGAATTCCATCAAGAAGTTTGAATCCCTGGAACGCCGGATTTCTTCGTTTGCTGTTCAATCGGATTCTTTTGTTTGTCTTGGAGATTTTAATGTTAATTTACTAACTCTGGATGGTGTCCAATCATCGCGATTTATTTCATTGATAGAAATAATATAAGAATAACCCATAGTTTCGCTACATTAATAGATCATGTTATAGGTTTTGAGGATGCAGTTGTTGAAAATAGTGGTGTTCGACCTATTCATGATATTGCAGATCATAATTTGGTGTTCGTTGATCTCGGGATGCATGAAACATTAAAAAATGTATACCCGAAACTTACATTTCGTGATTTCAAACACCTTAATTCTGACATGTTTTCTGCGGATTTGCTGTCAGCACCCTGGTGCCGGATACTCCAATTTCAGGACATTAATGATAAGGTGGCCTTTTTTGTTAATTCAATTCATAATCTTTTTGATCGTCATGCGCTCTTGCGTACTGTTTCCATCCGTAGAAACTATTGACCTTGGGTGACTGATAACATCAAGCTCCTTATGAGATTTCGTGATCAGGCTTATAGTAGATTCCACCAGAGCAGGTGTCCCAATCACTTCCAGTATTATAAACAACTACGTAATTACACTAACTCGGCCATTCTGAGAGAAAAACGGGCGTTTTTAAACACATTGTTTCAGGAGCGATCATCTCGTGATCTTTGGATGAGTTTTAGGAAATTGGGTGTTGTCAAAAATAAGACGCAAGTGTTGACTAATACTGGTTTTGATGCTGATACTATTAATAATTTCCTTCTCAGCACTCAAACTAATTCAACGGGAAGTGCTGAGTTGATTAACTTTTATTGGAATAACATACTTCCACAAGTTCTTCCACAGAAAAACTAACATTTTCTCTTACAAATGAAACTGAAATTTTCAATATTCTATGTGGTATCAAATCAAACTCTGTTGGTATGGATGGCATAAGTGTTAAAATGCTTTTAATGTGTTGTCCTACAATTTTGCGCTTCTTGTGCCATATAATTAATTATTCCATTGAATGTTCTGTGTTCCCTGATATTTGGAAGATCGCCCTGGTAACTCCAATTCCAAAAACCCAAAATCCTCATGAATTGGGGGACTTAAGGCCAATTAGTATATTGCCTATATTATCCAAGGTTTGTGAGAGGGTCATGGCGGTCAGACTTCGCTGTCATCTTGATGATTATAATGTGTTGCCCAGTTGCCAGTCTGGCTTTCGTCCGGGATTTAGTAGCGCTACTGCGCTTCTGGGTGTGACGGATGAAATCTTCAAAGCAATTGACGACAAACGGGTTACTATCTTAACACTTTTGGATTTTTCTAAGGCTTTTGATAGAATACATCATGATACTTTAGTGGCTTCGTTCCATTATATAGGTTTATCTTTAGGTTCGATTCATTTAGTACAAAGTTATTTGTCTGGACGAAAGCAGTTGGTTAAACTTAATGGTGATACATCCAATACCGCAGATGTTATATCGGGTGTCCCACAGGGCTCTATTTTGGGTCCTCTGTTATATTTGATATCTACAATTGGGTTCGCTAATGTTTTGGATCACTGTATGCCATACTTTTATGCTGATGATACTCAACTGCTCTACTCCTTTAAACTGTGTGATATGGAAGACGCTGAAAGCAAAATTAATCATGACTTAGTTAAGGTCGAAGAACTTGCTGGCAAGCTTTGTCTACGGATTAATTCTAGTAAGTCATCGGTTATGGTTTTTGGGGATAGAGCTTCATCCGAGTTTGTAAAAACTAACTTGCAATTGGTGATGGGTGGAAGTCGTCTTAGCTTTGGGGAAAATGTAAAAAATTTGGGTATATGTTTCGATGAGCGCCTTCGCTTTGATGGGCATGTTCGGTCCCTTCTACGGCGAGCTTACTCTACATTAAGGTTGCTTTACAACAACAGATACATTTTGAACCAGAACCTTAGAACGCATCTGTGTGATGCCTTGGTGTTGTCCATCTTCAATTACGGTGACGTAATATATCACTCCTGCCTTGACAGCGTTCACACTGCTAAAATTCAAAAGTTACAAAACTCTTGTCTGCGATTTATATATGGTATCCGTAGAAGGGAGCGCATATCACATACGCTGGCATGGGCTGGTTGGTTGAGCATGACACGGCGAAGGACTCTTCACTGCTTATGTCTCTACCACAAAATTATCTTACACAAAAATCCGCCTTACCTTTATGATAAAATTAGATTTCGCACAGATATCCATAATATTAATATTAGGCATAAACATACGCTAACGATACCTCACCACCGCTTAGAAATTTTCAAACGCAGCTTTACGTATTGTATGCCTAACTTATACAATTGGCTACCTGATTCCTTCAAGAGTCTTTCTCTGATTTCCTTTAAGGCAAGGGTTAGGGCTTATTTAAGTGAGCGGCAAGTTGACTGAGCACTCTTCTTCTTTGTTTATTTTGAAATGGTTTCATAGCCGGGGGGAGGATTGGGGGCTGACAGAGATTGAGATTTATATATGTATGCTTGTTATATGTAAGTATGCTTCTTATTGTGTATTTTAAGTTTGTTAATTTTTTTTTGCGCTTATAGTCGGCTTGATTTCATTTAAATTTTATTTTTCAATTTTTGTCTTATTATTTTGCTGAGGGTCATTAAAAAACAGTGCGACAAAGGGGGCTTGGTCACTTGGTCGACCTGACATGACCCTCTTTAATCGGAACTGCCTTTTTATAATTTTTTCTATTTGTACATATATTATATCTTATCCGATTAATAAACATTATTATTATTATTATATTATTAAAAGAAGAAAAGTAATACTTTACCAGTAGAAACAATCGTCATCAACAGATCGAGTGTCCCACTAACAAAACACGAAACCACTTTGCTCGCCAAAAGATTGAACTACGCAATTGCCCCGAAGAAGGTCCCAAAAGAGGAAATCATCAGCGAAGTGGAAGCGACTGTTCGAGGGATGCCCGTACTAAAAGCGGAAGGAATCCGACAAGAAGTTGCGAGAGTACTGAAGTCAGCAAAACCACCGAAATCCAACAAGATTGGTGAAAAGAAGACACTCCGATCTATTAACGAAAAGTCAGAAATCCTTGTCTTACCAGCAGACAAGGGGAATGTCACCGTTGTTATGGACAAGAAAGAATATACAACAAAATGATGAACCTACTTAGCCCAGCCACCTACAGGAAGATAAAGAAGAACCCACAGACAAAATTGTAAGGAAAATGAAGGACCTGATAAAATCCACAGGAATTCCAGCAGAAAGGTTTGTTTGTGCAAGTTCCGCACAGTGGGACAGCTGGTGATTCTAGCGCGACAAAATTAAAAAAATGCAATACCCATAAACTATAAAATTAATACTATCAATCTATATGTATATGCCTTCTTTAGCTATTACAGAAATTAAAACTTATCTAGTATGAATACTCTTAGAGTACTAGCCGATAATGATTATACTTTAAAGATTTTGGAGCGTATATTGAAATTAAAAAAAAATGTAGTAAATGTATACACAGGCCATTATTATTTTATTAAAAACTTAGTGTATAAGAGTAGTTTTAATTTCTGTAGTAATTAGATTATACAGGGTGATTCACATAAGAACCAACACAGAGCAGGGACATGTAGAGGACAATAAATTAAGATGATTTAATATCTTATCTCTATACTAAGTTGTACCCCTGAGGAGTTATAGGCCTTCAAAGTTGGGTCTTAAATTTTTAAAACATTCAATATCTTCGTAATACATTAAGCTGGAAAAACCAAATTTGGTATACGTTATGAGTGTACCGAGGGTATTAATTGGTAGCAAGTTGAGACCAATTGAGGCATTTCAAAGGGTTGATTAAGCGTGATGGTCTTCTTTTTGACAGATTTTTTTAACCTTTTGGTGAATTTAATACATTATTACCTCATTTTATGTGGAATTTAATTCTAAAACTTTTTTTACTCTTATTATTTTTTAAAACACACTGTCGTTTTCATAAAAAACTCAAATAACTAAAGACACATATTTCGTTAATGCTACTTAAAATCATCGAAAATTCAGTAGTCGGTTGTGAAATTGTATTAAGATTGTCAACCAAAGTTAATTGTAAAAATAAATTAAACGAAAAACTGTCAAAATATCATGGCCTAATAAATGGCAAACTCCCGTTCTGGTGAGCTAATAAAATATGGGGCGTACCATTTAAAATTTTCGACTTTCTTGCCATTGAATGACGTTATTCTTTGTATACTTTTATATCATTTTCAGTAAACAGAGGCTGCGGTAATTTGCGGTCAATTACAATATCTTCAAAAGTTTTAACTTCCAACGCCGACGTTCTAAATATAGTAGGTATGTGCGTAAATTTGATAATGTGCGATAATTTTATAATGTAATTAGTTACGTTAATGAAATTTGGTATATCGGTATGGGATTATAATAGCAGATCCGTTTCAACATTTAGGCCAAACCCATCAACCGGAAGTGGTACTTTATCTGAAACTAAAAGATTATCAACCTAAGTTAATCTTAAAAATAAATTAAACAAAAAACTGTCAAAATATCATGGCCCAATAAATGGCAAACTCCCTTTCTGGTGAGCTAATAAAATGGGGCGTACCATTTAAAATTTACGACTTTCTTGCCATTGAATACGGAAAAAAGGTAATTCACTTTTTGACCATCCTGTATAAGATACTGTGATACAGCAAATGACAATCTAATTGACAGCATTTGAAGAGTAATTGTGCCAATTTAGAGCTTTTTTGAATGAACGTTTACTAAGATATGGAGTTTTAAAGGGCATGGTGAAATTTGCCAAGAAAAACTTAAAATCAAAATATCTCGAAAACGAATAACGCTAGGTACCAATAACATTTATCAAAGTCAACTTATTTTTTCGCATATAATTAAAAGGTGCAATAAAAATTATAGCATTCCGTTTAAAATAACGAAGTTGTGGTCTACTTCCGGGGGACCGGAAGGTGCCACCATCTTGAAAATACTTTAGATCGAAAGATCGATATGAACCTCCTATATAAACTAAATTTGAGAAACGTGGATACAATGGAGCAGAAATGAAACGGGTGTTGCTGACTTTCGGAATAGACCCGTCAGGGGCCTATTGTGGGTCCCATATTGTATTTAATATACACATTTAATCTTACTAGTCAATTAAAATTTTGCAAAAGTCATATGAATGCAGATGATATGCAAGTTTATTATACCTTTGATAGGGACAATGTTCGGAACGCAGAAGTATGTATCAATGCTGATCTTGATAGACTGCTTGGTTATATTAAGAGGCATTGTCTTACTATTAATTCTACCAAGTCGTATGTTGTAGTTTTTGGTCCGGATGTGGTGAAGGATTTCATTTTAGATTCAAGTCTTAGATTCAGGAGACAAGTTAGTGGACTTCTACAGCGTGCATATTCTGCTATCAAGACTTTATATATGTAGTAATAGAGATATCTTGAGCCAGAAATTAATAATTTATTGTTGTGAGGCGCTTGTACTCTCCTTATTTAATTTTGGAGACGCTCTTTACTACTCTTGTTTTGATAGTACGTATAGGGATAGGATTCAGAGAGTGCAAAATGCTTGCCTGCTTATTTACGGCTTTAAAAAGTGTGACAGGATTTCTCATACCTTGTCTTGGGCAGGTTGGCTTAATATGTAGATTTGTGTAGGTCCATGTTTCGGAAGTGGAATATAAGAATTAATACCATATAATTAAGAAAAAACTCTTTGCTTCCGGTCATATTTATTTAATTTAAATGACAGGACTAGTTTCGAACTATGTTCATCATCAGCTGTCTTCTATAAAAGCGATACAAAACATATTAAAATACATAAGTAATAATAAAACTAAAGTACAAGGATTAGAGTATAAAAACTTACATCGTAATAAACAAAATAAGTGCAGGACACGTTAAAACGCTCAGAGCGAAATTGATATAATAAAATAAAATGGTACAAGAATGTAAAGAGACGTAACTGGTTTTAAATACAAGTTGTGAATAATGCGAATGAACAAGCTATATATAGAAATATAAAAAAGTAATAAAAATCAAAAAATATGTATGTATATTTAGTCTAATTGTAAGAGCTGACTAAGAAAAAAGAGAAGAGTGGGTTCTCAATATTATTGATTAGCCATTCGTTAAAATGTGATTAGGGTCTTTAGAGTATTTAGAAATTTCAAGTTGTTCCAATAAGTCCATTCTATAGCTCTTATTACATTTGTGTAAAAGTTTGTAATTGTTATAGTCGATGTTATGGCCGGTTTCAATAGCATGTTTATAAACGTTTGAATTATTTTTAGTTTTGTGTTCATTGATACGTTTATTCAGTTTTCTACCAGTTTGTCCTATGTAAATGCTGTTGCAATTTTGGTATTGTATGTTGTATATCCCGCTAGAGTTCTTCTTGTTCTTCTTTTATTTTGTAGTTGGCTAACTTGTTGAAAATGTTATTATTAATTTTATTCAAATTGTTGTATGGAAGGGATCTATATGTTTGTTTTTCTTTACGGGTCTTATAGTATAGAGGATCATGTTGTATGTATATGTTTGTTACTAGATTATTAATTAGATTACCTGGAAAATCATTAGTTTTTGCAAGCTTTCTAATATAATTAATTTCAGTGTTATGTTATTTTTTCCAGAGGGTATGTGAAAACTCTGTTGATATATAGAATCTGAAAAAAGCCAAAGTTTATGCGTAGTGGTGTGATATGAGTCCCATGGTATAATGATGTTTTTTTGTTGTAGATTTTCTATATATGTTGAAATTTAAATTGGGTGTTTTTCTTTCTTTCTTATGTTATGTCTAGGAAATTCAATTTTGTGTTGTTTTCTATTTCAATTGTAAAATCTAAGTTCTTATGTATAAGATTTAAGTATTGTAGAAAGTTTGTTAGTTCTTGGTTGCCATTCCATACGCATAAAATATCGTCCACATATCTGAACCATTTGATGATTTTGTCTTTAAATGGATTGGAGCTGTCATGTATTTTGTTTTTCTCGATGTGGTTCATAAATAATATGTCTGCTAAGAAGCTGGAAATAGGGATACCCATTGGTAGTCCTGTGTTGGATTTGTAATATTTATTATTAAATTGTAAAGAGTTTTGGTCAATAAGGTGTTTTAAGATCAGCGACAGTAGAACCATGTTCCAAGTTATTCCATATTATTGTTAGTTGTCTGTATAAATAGGCAAGTTGTGTGTAATGTAGATTTAGTTTGCAGTGGTGTTTTCATTTCTCCTTTCTCATAATGTTATTTTCGATTCGAAGTTTTTGCTTTGGGTGAATGTTTCTTGAGGTAACTTTAGCAAAGTTGGGTATAATGTTTTTCTTCAGACAGATGTTAATAAAGTTTATGTTATTTTGTATCTTGTAAAGCTGTTTATAGATGCGTTTATATTTAAGGACGGTGGACGAGTTTATATCCATCTTGAATTTGTGTAGGTCAGCAAGTGGATATTTTGGTTGCCAATTCGCTATTTTTACGTGGTTGTTTCTTCTCAACACTGGGATAAGGAATGCATTCTATTTGTGAAGAAGTTGCATGGTAAGTAAGCGTTACAGGTTATTCCACAAAAAATTATCTTGCTCATAATAGTTTAAATTATGTTTCAATTATTTTCCGATATTGTTGTTTTTTTGGGTTTTGTGGGCTGCATAAATGCGGTCCTTTTTAAGTATTCTTTTATGATGAAAATTCGTTTACAAAGTCATGAATTGACGAATAAACAATGTAAAAGAGTAAAAATAATAAATTTCCAATTATAAGTTCTTGATATAAAGAAAAGTACTCAAAAACAAGTCATGAAGTTGTTTCTCCACCCACTCACTTGTGTTTTTTTTTTCTAGAATGTAGACAAACAACAGTTTACGACTTCACACATCATTACTCATCAAGGTTCAGTTGGCACTGCGCCTTCTGCTAGTATTAAAGCTTTAAATGAAGTTTTGTGACACAAAAAGCGGATGTCAGTGCAAAATCAATTCAAGACATAACAACTTGGAAAAGGTTCATATTTTTTATATTAGTTTTTTTCACATTTGCATTATACCTTTATATAGGTGTTAAGCCATTTTAAGTAGTATAGTAAATAAATCATTAAAGTAAATTTTAGTAAGAATTTGGTTAGATATGAAAAAATTTGTTTGTATTTGGTTTCTACCTTGAGATATATTCTCTCCCATAAACTCCTGAAACATCTCGACTATATTTACACGGTACAGTTCAGATGCTCCGATAATTTGCGCGAATCTCTCGCTCTTCTACCGTCAATTGTGCGCGATAACAGACGTTTTATCCTTCCTTAAGATGGTGTTCCAGTTTTCTTTCAGTTTAAAACCGAGGTTTATCTTGGAAAACGTTTCATTGAGGGTTTGTATATTTCGTTACTCGATTTCGTTTTGTCTAAACTAATTTTATAAAACATTTTAAAACTTTAAAATTAAATTGATAATTAAAAAATCAAATAATTAAGTTATTGTTAAGATTAAAAATTATCTAACGGTAAATTAGATTAAATATTTAATTTAGTTTTTGAAAACCAAAGAATGATTTATAATTTTAACAAATTTTATTTTTATATTTTAATTTAAAAGTATAAAAGTGTAAACATTTTTTTGTGTGGAGTCATTTTATTTCGAAGATTTTTTTTCGTGTTGTTTTATTAGAACTCCTAAAAGTTTATCTTGTGAGCGATTAAACTTTTATAACCAATCTAATACCTACACGTATGTTTCAAGTCGACCATCAAAATGTGTGCTATTTAGTTAGATAAATTCAGCACATCACTCGTAATCGATGCTCGAATGCAAATCACAGACATTCGGTTTATTTTCTTAAAGGAAACGATTCATAAAATTTGACATTACCACAATTTGTCGAATAATCTCCGTTGTGTTTTCGAAAAATTAAAACACGTTTTGAAACAAAGATTTGATTATAGCAAAGATTACCAAACAAATTTGAATTAAAATTAAAACATAATAATTATATTAAGCGGTGACAATATCAAACAGAAAGAATTGCTTTCCTTGTTATTTTTGAACACTTTTTGACGATCTTTTTTATTAAATTGTAATTAAATTTTATTAAATCGTTAAAATAAATTATTATCTGTATACAAATACTAAAATCCAAGGAAAAAAATAGAGTTTATATTTGAAAATCCCGGATCTCGCCAGAAAATTATATGAGTTACGGCTTTTGTAATCCAAACAAACTCCCGAGAGCCCAGGTCTACCATAAAATCAGAAAAGCAAAATGAGCTTAAATATATGCGGGTTATTAGCCAAAAGTCCTCCGATGTAGGAAAAATATACTAGTTTTGAATAAAGATTTAGAGTTTGACGTCACATCTTCGACGACTTTCGCATGTCGATAGAAAGTTATAAGTCTTTCAGATACTCATTTTTTTCAAGTTTATACTAAATATGAATTACGGATCCTCATAACATGAATATTTAACGAATTTTTCTTAAATAAAAATATACAATATTAATATTAACTCACATCGCAAAATCTTCAAAATAAAAAATACAAAAAAAATTTTGTTTGCAGGAAGAACGTAAAAGGACTGGAAGATATATTGCTGCCGGTACCGCTATACTTCTCACACTTTTAGCAGTTTATCAAGCTTTAGTTGGAGGCACACCACAGTATGCAGCCCTTTTTGTACCAGCTTTAATCATGTTCGTGTATCTTTTATGTATTTTACATGCTTCTAAACATCAACAACGTCTCGCAAAGGTAATAATAAAATAATAATATTTTGGTGTAATATGGATGTTTACTTCCAAATATTTTAAAATAGGATGTTTTTGTAATAAAATGTATTTCAGATCTGTAATAATAATCATTATTCGCAGAGGATAATAAGGTTTTAAAAGATGTAAATGTTTTAAATTAGTTTGTTGAGTATTTATACATTTTCCCTGTCATTACTTCATTTCTTAACTCCTTTCTACAATTTCAATTGATTTTATATAAACCACTAATATTTTTTGTTTTCATCGAAACTACACGAGTTAAAATAATAATTAATTTCTTTATGTTGTCGTTTAAATGTTAATTGGTGTTGAATTTCTTTTTATGGGCTTCCAAGCAGTACCGTCAACTGGTTAATCAAGAATTTCATGCGTTTTGCAAAAACCCCAAACTCATCCATCATTTTCTCTGAATATTCTGTGAATATTTTACCCGGGAACATCACCCATATTTTTATAGATGATTTATTTTCGTTCGGGTGTTCTTCCTGGTATTGGATAGAGTTATGAGAAAGGTTACCGAAGGAAGGAAAAATGGTGTTCAGTATGGGCTACAAGATAGACTTAAGGAGCAAAGTGGTTTGTGCAGTTGTTAGTGCAAAGTATACTTGCAAAGTGGTTTGTTTGTCTATGTTAGTTGACGAAACGTCTGACATATGAGGAAAACAGCAGTAACCCATTGGCATTTGGCATGTTTACCACAATAATACGATTAAAGAAACTTCTAAGTATGTCTAAGTTCTGTAGGGTCTTTTAATGAACTTGGACGAACTCGTGGGTCTTGAGTTTGATAGAAGTTTAACAATGGCTGAAAAATAATTAGGTGTGCAACAGAGAATAAGCACCACAAAGCAAAGTTCTTCCATTGTGCATCACACATACTAAATTTAGTTACTGATGACTTATGCTCAGTTCAGAAAATTTAAAATTATTCTTCAAATATTAAATAAATCGTTTAATTTTATCGACAAAGACATTTTAACATTTTACGTAATAGAGTAGTAGCAAATTTACAAAATCTTATTGGAAACAAAATAGTAGACAAAATATACATCTATTCGAGCGTTTTCACGAAAACTTCTCCGTTCAAAGAAGTTTTAGCATATTAAAGAAAGTGAAGATATCATCTCAGATCTATATCAATTCTCCAGCGATTGAGTGCTTGCTAAGTGTCCATTGTGAGCTGGACAACTTTGTTGAGTGCTGCCGAACAATTTTGAGATCAATCTTTGTGAAGAAGCTGACATATTGTTACGGTATTAGGGAAACAATTTCTAACAAATTTAAAACTTCATGCATTGAAAGAAACTCATTTTTTTCATCACTTTCCGCCAACGACTTGACTCGTTAAAAGAACTTTGAGGGCAAGACGTTTCAGTATATTAGTTCTACACTTTTCTTAGTCTACATACACGATAGATATGGTCATAAATCAATTGTCTTTATGAAAAGTGAGTTGTGGAAATGTGTGATTGAAAAGAACTCATCCGTCTTACAGATGACAAAGGCATAGTTAAATAGAAATAAAATATCGTGCAACATTAAAAATCCCATTTCATTATATTCTCTTCGTATTCCTGAGGAATACCAAACATAAAAACATAACGACGCAAATTAGAGAGTAGAAGAAACAACATGGTTCAATCTTTGTTGAATTACCTTTATTNTCCGCCGCTTCTCTCGCCATGACCACGATGTCATCCGCGTATGCTAACATATGCACCTTTCTACCTCCCACCACCAACCCTCCCATTTGCCCCTTCCCCAATCTATCCTCCAGGTCCGCCGTATACAGTGCAAACAGACTTGGGCTCAGCGGACATCCCTGCCTCAGTCCCTTCGTCGTCCAGAACACGTCGCTCAGCTTATCTCCCACTTTTATCCTAGCCATAGTCTCTATGTATATTTCCTTCACTCTCTCAATTAGGTGAGGAAAGTGAAGATATCATCTCAGGTCTATATCAATTCTCCAGCGACTGAGTGCTTGCTAAGTGTCCATTGTGAGCTGGACAACTTTGTTGAGTGCTGCCGAACAATTTTGAGATCAATCTTTGTGAAGAAGCTGACATATTGTTACGGTATTAGCAAGGGAAACAATTTCTAACAAATTTAAAACTTCATGCATTGAAAGAAACTCATTTTTTTCATCACTTTCCGCCAACGACTTGACTCGTTAAAAGAACTTTGAGGGCAAGACGTTTCAGTATATTAGTTCTACACTTTTCTTAGTCTACATACACGATAGATATGGTCATAAATCAATTGTCTTTATGAAAAGTGAGTTGTGGAAATGTGTGATTGAAAAGAACTCATCCGTCTTACAGATGACAAAAGCATAGTTAAATAGAAATAAATTATGGTGCAACATTAAAAAATCCCATTTCATTATATTCTCTTCGTATTCCTGAGGAATACCAAACATAAAAACATAACTTGACGCAAATTAGAGAGTAGAAGAAACAACATGCTTCAATCTTTGTTGAATTACCTTTATTGACTATCCATGGTGCGGATACTTCATCAGAAATATTTATAAAAGTATAATAAGAACTATGAAGCATCACAAAATCCATACTAAAAGACTTTTTATTTATCACGCGCACGAATTCCAAACAACTTGAACTATCCAATATTTCATCACTACTACAATCTGCCAAACAACTTTAAGAATAACCTTTGTGAAGAAGCTGGCACATTGTTACTGTATTTGCAAGCGAAAGCAATTTCCAACAGATTTCTGACACTTTTATTTTCCAGTTGCTAAAGTTCACTTTTATGACTTAATGAGATGACAGTTAAAGTATGGATATATTACACTATGTGGTCTTTATGATAAACAAATACCGTACATCATTAATCCTAAGATAACAACTTCCTAATCAACTGTAGGGTCAATTTGGTCCACATCAAATAAGTAGTTTTAAGAGAAGGATAATGAAAAATTTCTTATGCATGATAGATTCTAATATAGTGTGTAATGTAGTGCGTTGTAGGAACTGCTTCCAATACAAATATGACAACGAAATCATTTTGAAATTGGTGGTGGAGTATGCTTTTTTCTTTTTGCTCGTGCTACAGGTTTGTATAATACGACTTCTTCGTATTCGAACAGTTGTGTTGGTCAATATTTTCTCCAAATAATTCTTTTGCCAAAATTTCAAGAAATAGTTTTCGTTTATTTTTCATAGAAGTTTTGGATTTCCATTCAGGATTTTTGATCATCTAAATTAAATGTATATTATAAGCTGCAATATCTGTAAAATGTATTCTCTAAGTAATTTATCAAGAATCTAATTAACTTTTAGTCGAATTATAATAGTTTATAATTTCTGGTTTGAAATTGATTTCAGAATTTGACAAACTGGTTTCGGTGCTTTATGATGCACAGAAAGTTGAATAATACGATATTGTTCTCTATAAAAACCATAGATTACAGATTTTGGAAGAATTTTTCTAATTTCATGAATTGTTTCCACTAGAAAACAACCATTATCTAAAATAAATATTCAGCTAATTTTCTTCCAAAAATCAGTTTGTTGTTTTATAACCCGTTGGCATTTTTCTGATCTTTTTCAGGAATTTGCCTTATTCTTCCAAAATAAGTATTGAAATCGTTTATCTTGGATTATCGAGTTGTAATATGCTATGTCATTGCAAAGTGATCATATTTTTATTCCATATTTGCCTGGCTTTGACGGCATATAAATTTTCAAGAGACAATGTCCACAATATGGCGCTAGTTATTCATCCTATTGGAGGCCTCGTAAAATTTCCTACATTTATATTTTTGAAATTGCGTTACCTTAATATTTAGAAATTTTCTGGATGTATGTTCTGTTCTCTATCATGCGGCTTCTATCTTTCAATACACTTTCATTTGATTTTGTAGCATAAATAGTTGTATGAACTTAGAACGACGTTGCTATAATAATCTTTGATAATATTGTAATACATTTCCGTGTTGTGTTTATTTAAAACTGTTTAAATCTTTCAAGAGTTTATCTAAATACCTTTACCTACAGTTTTAGATTTTACAAATATTATTAAGGTTGTTTGTTATATAGGATATTGCAAAACATCACAGAAAATACTTTATCTGTATCCTACTTTTGATTACATAATAATTTATAAAAGGTTTAAGCTAAATTTTTTTGATAAATAAAATTTAAAGTACAAATATAATTTAATTAAAATGTTTTGTCTGTAGCAACTTTGTTTTTTAATTAATGAGGAATAATTAATGTAGAAATTTTAATATGCATATATAATTTCTAAACAATAATTTTTCCTTTATTTAATAATAATTATTTTTATTTCATTTTTAGGCAATGGAACAAGAAGCTCTAAAAGAAATAATTGTGGAAAAAGTTCCGGATATTTTTAACAATACTAAACCATTACCAAAATCGACTTCTTTGGTCCGATCTTATTCGATAGCTTGAAATTTTCAAGAACACCAGAAACAATAACGAAAATAAAAAACGGTATCGCACCAAAACAATAATTTGTAACAATGTTTTTCATTGTAAACGTTGCGAATACTCAGCACGGAAATGCAAAATAAAAAAATAAACTACGTTATCGCTTCGTGAACAAATATTAAATATTACAACAAAAATGCGACTGCAATTGACCATAAAATATTTTGACCACTTTTTTATGTAAAGGAAAAGAATCTAAAAAAGTGATGTAACAAAATGTGATATTTTAACGAAATAAAAAAATAAATTAAATTCATTTTTTTATATTTTTAAAATGTGTTTTTGTTACATTTTTTATAATTTTTCCTCTACCTTGATTCATCTAACAAATAATTTTAGATTGGTTTACACCGTTTCTGTTTTGTATGAGTTATTAATAAATGTTAACGAAAAGCAGGTGTTGAAAACATAAACCAGACATGTTTTTAAGAAACATTTTAAGTATGTATACTTGATTTTATATACAGAGTGGTTAATTAAGAATTCTTAATGTTATAAATCTTTACTTTCAGAAAATGTAAGTGTTCTTTTTTTAAATTTTGGTGGTGAGGCTTAAGTTAGGTGGTTGTGGTAAAATTAAAGTTTTTGTGAATCTTTAAGGAATTACAAAAACGCCGTTTTGTAGAAACATGCACAAACATGATAAATGATTGTGTACCATCGAACAACCCTGGTATACATGATATACGAAGGGGGTAAAGTCAGTATTCACGATCTATCCAAAATATCATTTAGCTGTTAAATGTCAGGCTTTTAATGTTTTATGGTCTTTAAATGAGTGCATGTTTAAACACGAATCAACGATAAAGCGTAATTTCAGTTTAACTTTTACAGTACCTTGCGATCACTGAAAACCCTTAGTATAATTTAATTCTTTTTGGATTAAAATTTATTTTGTAGATTTTGCGCTAACATTTATAATATTTTTACATACTATCACAGTCACGTGTAATACAACTGAGATCATTAATGGCTCAATTATATGATTGTAATATTGTAGTTGCATTATTCCAATTATAGTCCGTAACTTACTACTTTTTTTTTCTAACGTTATAAATGGACCACAATGGATCAAAAAATATGGTTATTATTACACCCAATTTGTAGTGTAATAATTTATGTTATTATTGAATTTTTGGGAAGATTGGGCAGTAATGATTACCTTCACGATCACTTTCATCTTAAATCGCAGGCATTTAAAAACTGATTTGGGATCGCATTAGAGTTTCAGAGTTAGACAATAACAATGAATCGAAATGTGATGAATCACACTTAGATTTGGAAGATGTATCTAAACAAGAAAATAATGAGGTCGAAGAAGAGACAAGTATCGACTTGTTAAGCACCAACAGTTACAATGAGTTTCCATTATAATATATAAAAATGTCTTACTCAAATAAAATATCTAATGAATATACATATAATTGCATTAAGCTGTTTTTTTGTTAGAGGAAAAATCGCAGACATTACCTTGGCGGATAATATCGATCGAGGTTTTTACAAAGAAAGGTTAAAGTTCGATTCCGTTGCACGAAGGAGTAAAACCAATCCTTTCCATATATCTGTACCTTAGGGGTAAAGGATCGTAACTCCAATTTTTGTCAATATCGAGTTAATTATTATAAAACTTATTATAATAGAGTTATAAAAATTTAAACCTTGTTTTCTAAAAAAACCTAAAAGATTTCAGAGATTCAATCCTTTACCTCTAAGGTACAGATATATGTTTTTGTTTGTTGAACTTGTGTTTGAGCTTATTTCTTTCTGCACACTTGTAGGTAAGTTCCCGGATTAATTTAGCGTTAATCCATAAAATACTTCAGAAAGATTAATAATATGACTTGCTATTTTGAATTGCTCCGATTCTTGCTCTACACTAAGGATGGGGTTTCTTCCTAGCTTATACTTTTTTTTACAGAAAAGCAACCTCTTAAGCGATCTTGCAGTAAGATACATCAAACATTTGCGTAGATTTTTGTATTGACAAAGCTTTGTTTTTAACAGATTTTATGATAGCCTGCATGTTCTCTTCCGACCATGCAGAACATGTACTTTTTCGAATATATTTTAAATTTGGCATCTGAAGAAAGGCAATACAATTAATTTAATATCGACTACAATAGAGAAATATCGACAACTCTGATCGATATTAACCTCCCACCAATTTAAACACATTTTGTTCATTAACAGAGAATTAAGTTAGGAAATAATTATTATTCCATTGTAAAATTAAAGCTACTATCACGTAAGTAAGCTGTACTAAAAAAACATTTTATAATGATCAGATGCTAGATCGAATTATGGAAAATACAAATAAGTACAGATATAGTTTTAGCTGCAAAAAATTAACCCAACGATAAGCAGAAGCTCTACTGAGACTGTTTATCCCGAAGTTTTGAAGAGTAAACAACTCAATACTAAGCATTTGTGAACATCTAATAGTTCTGGAGACGAAATATTTCGCCTGATAGTATCAAATAGTTGCTTTCGTTATCTTTTGGTACGTTGAGGATTCCATTTAAGTATGTTTGCTTTCACGAAAAATTGTACATTGGGATCATATGGACGAAAATGAATGATATTGACTACAGTCCCTATGGACTTTGATTAACTTCACAATACGTAGCCATTCTGATCTGTCGCTTCCAGTGTCGTGTACTAAGTGTTCTAAGGTCCTCTATCACATCATTGTTATATTGTTTCGTTGGTCTTCCTCTAGCTATCTATGCTTGTGGTGTCCATTCTACAATTCTCAACATTTTTCTGTCTTCCTCCATCCATTCAGATGTCCTAGCCATGTCGTTCTCCTGCATTTATGTGTCGCGCTATGTCTGCACCATCCATGAGCTGATTCAATTCATGGATCACTCGTATTCTCCACATTCTAACATACTAACATATAAATCGCATATATACACAGTACGAAGGGTGGAGTTGAACTGATAGACCAACTTGTTCAACACTCAACTATGTTGGAAATATTCAAAGATAGCTAATGTTGGTTCTGTTCAAGTTTAAATGTTGCGGAAAGTAATTCCATCGAAGTATATACATAAATCTAATGAATCTATTAATTTACGCAATTGAATATTATAAGGGAATTTTTGAAACAACCTTCTATAGAAATACTACGTCCTCATTTACTTCAACGTTCAAGAACCTAATTTACTCTCATTTCACCATACTGAGACCGAAACGGCTACCTGGTTGTACACGTAGAGCGTTTTTAATGGACATGTGGAAAAACCTAACACCCAAGAGTCAAGAGTACGCATATATAATTTGTGAATTTTATTTTTAATATATTTAAATTATTTAAAAACATCGTCTAAATTAACATTAAAATTGTAATTAATTATCATGCTGTTATTACATTGTTATCATTTAAAAACATTTTTCAGTTATCAAAGTACTCGAAAACTTTAGAGCTTAGATAAATGGTGACTTACGATTTCAACTAACAATAATTTTGTTCTTTCAATTTTTAAGAGTCGTCTGTTATTCAAAAGAGTAAGCTTAAGTAAGTTCAGAATCAAACTTACAATAGCCTACAATTCTGGTTTAAAACTTGAATAAATTTTGGTTTTACAGTGTTATCTTTTCACCAATATATCGCGTGAAGATGTTTATATACAACTTACCAATCAAGACAGCAAGTTGAGATATTTTTTGCTAGATGGCGCGAAAGAAAAAGCTGAAATTTAAATGGTGAAAATTTTAAGTTATTAGTTATTACTATTAATTCTAAATTAATAGTGTACGATATAGGTCAGTGCAGTATATTATAAATAATCTTTAATAGATTTGAGATATTTTGTTCTTGTGATTCTATTTATATATTTCTCAACGCATCTACAATAGCGAGATTATTTATGGAGTGTATCAAATTTTATAAACAGAAGAAACCTTGTAAAATGCCAATAACATTAGTTTGGGCAAATGATTTATAACATATTGTAAACAATAATAATTTTATAACTGCAATTTTTCCACTTCTATATTGTTAGATAATTCTTTATTATTGAACCGATAACTCAACTTTGTTGTTTATGAGATTTTATAAAAAATCTGTCTATAACGTTGAAATTCAACGTCAGATTTTAATTTAATTTAATTATTGTGTATTTGACTTACACCATTTATTAAGTTTAACAGATTTTTAAATTCAAGAAGGGTGCTATAGTAAGAAAATACGTTGATATGATAATATTTTAACTCTTGTGATGTCGAACATTTGTACAGAGAACGATGTCCGTTATCATTATCATCCAGATCACGTAGTACGTTATTATACGGATTCACGAAACGTTAGCAAAAATAAATGATGATAATTTCAATTAACGAAAATAAAACACTTTTAGGACTTTCTTAAGGAATTAGATGTTTTGTTTTCGTCTCGCTTAGCGCGCCTCAGTTCTCATTTCAGTTCACTCAAGTTCTTATTTTTTGTAATTGGTTTTGTTGGGAGTAAACGAAAAATTAAAAATAAATGTAAATTTGTTTTTTCAATTCTACCTGAAAACAACTTTGCTTTTGTGTTTTCAATATTATTCATTTCTGTTTTTTTATGTTTAATGTAAAACACATATTCGACGATTGGGGAGTGAATGAGACAACCCTGCATAAAATTATAACAAGCTTTGTCTTTACAAAAAATTTTTAATTTTCATTTACATAACTAATAATATATAGATAAATTCATACTTAATCTTCAAACTATTTGGATCAAGCAGTCAGAATAGTAAATGTTATAAAATCCGGGATTCACAAATATTTGTCGCTCTTTTTGAAGAAATGGAGTGTTTATCTCGGAAAAATTCTAAATATAGGAAATGAGATGATTCTTATTGACTCCTCGTTTGAATTTGACTTATGTTGCTAATCGACCCTTAACAAATTTAATATATTATTCAACTTTAGAAAATATACTTACACTGTTTTGTGAATCCTGCATAAACAGAGAAATAGCTAAATAAGTGCTTTATTATACTTGGTGATTTGGTATCCGGATCAAAGACTTCGTCGGAAATAACTTTTGATATAAAAAGATGGCTTCGCAATCCTAACTACTACTGCTAACTGCTACTTTGTTAGAGCTTTGGACACAAGTAGATGTGAACACGTAAATATTTTCAACAGATTCA